TGTGTTCAAATTCAGTGCGTATTTCGTAATTGTATCGAAGTTCAAGAAGTATCTCTGCCAACCCTTGAGGCTCTTCTGGTACATCAGCAATTTTACATTTAAAGGGACCTAGAACAGAACTGACGGTGAATCAAGATCTGAAAAGTAATCAGAGAACCGCTCTTTGAGCTTGGTACGATGCATTATAATTGTATCCTTGACAAAAATAACATTTTTACAACGTTCCGAAAACGAAACTTTGAAAAGACAGCTATCTTGTTTTGTTCTGCTTTCTGTCCCCAATATAAAAGCTTTGATCCAAATGCTGAAATCTTTTCTCTGGATGAAACTATATTGATGTTTTTCCTTCCAGTTCTTTGCTCAATGCATTCACATATTCAGAAATATCAGCTAAATAAGCGAGATGTGCAACCCTCGAGGAGTCTGTAAACTTATCAGCGAAAACATGTTTCGATAGAAAAAAATCTAATCGACAGAAAAAACATCAAATTATTGAACTAACATACAACTAAAATACGGTTAATAAATGAAAATCTTAGACTTAAAATAGAACAACTGAAATAAATTAAATAACTACTTAAATCGACTTAAACAAAGCAAAAACACGTGTCAAAAATAAGGTTAAGGCAGTTAATAGACAGCTGACAAATAATATCTGTTTAACCTCTTGAAAACGCCTTAGCAACCAAATTGTTTTGAGTTCAACATGGCGGACGTCTCCTAAACACGTCTATTACATTGGCTAGATGCAGAGTTGCCAGAAAAAAATTTTTCACAACAATGAACGCGCATTTTACATAATTTTATTTATGTCTGTTCAGTCCTCATTACCCGCAAGAATTTCATTTTTACCCCGTTTGGAGTAATTTACTACGGTTCGCCGACCCCTGCTCTAGATTAAATCATACAAGCTGTGAAAAGCCTAAAAAGTGGAACGGCTGTTGGAATCGAACAAATACGGAGTAAAGTTCTCAAAGAACTAGGGAAATGGGAAACGTGTTCGCTTACACGTGTCTGTCAAACTGCAATAACCACGGGGAAGACAACGGCAGACTGGAGAACATGTTTTAACATCCATGTTCAAGAATGAAGACCACTGGGAGTGTTCCAACTATCGCGGAATTACCTATTTAATCGCCCGGGAAAGGTCTACGCAAAGGCTCTCGAAACGAGGTGCCAGAATAACTGACTCCAAGATATATCTTGGCACCTAGTGCACTGTCAACTGCTACTTATTACCGATTGACCAATTAATAACTAAAACATCTAACTTCAGTTTGAGAGATTGAGTGCCAAAGAATGGATGAAAAGTAGAAACAGAAAATGAGAGAAAACAGAATGACAAGTGATGCATGTGACGAATACAGTGCAAAAGGATTGCAACAACATGTCATCTACAAACTAATAACATTGCTCATAAAGTTTAATATGTAAATCTATAACTAGTCATAAGAAAGGATAAAGTACCTATCGAAGCGGGAATGAAAAGTGTACAGCCCCGTTTCGTTCAGTTTGAACCGCTGGCAAAGGTTAGAAACACAGCTGACGTTCCTGAAGCCCTTCGAGCGGCGCAAGATGCGTTCATATTCGTCGTGCGGCTCGTATTCTGTCGTTCTAAAAACGAACAGCGGTTAGTGTAACAATAAAACATAAGTATGACGTTAAACGTCATTACCTAAAATAAGTCGGTAAATCATCCTCGTAGATAATTCCCTGCAAAGTCGAGGGGTCAAAATTGATCACAGCACAAAAATAACAGCTACAGAAAACGTTACCAATGAGAGCGACGACTTCGTGTGTTGCGAACAGGTAGACAGCACAAACGTGGATTTCGACACATCCTTAGCTCGTATAGTAGCTATAAGTAATAAAGCGAAATCAGATCTGAGCGATTTCGTGCCTTTCCATTTTCACCTCTCATCATCCTGTGTTTTCGGTAAACAATCTGCAAGTTTTCAGTACGTTCACTGATGCCTTCAGTCAAATCGGCAGTTGAAATAAAAGTCTTAAATTGCAAAAAATCTATTGTTGCCTGTTCTTTACAGTACAAAAACAGAAGTTTACAGTTAAAATTATTTGAATGTCTTTGTCGTCAATGCGCGTCACTTCTTAAGATTTACATGGTATCATTACACTGCCTCCTTACTCCCTGAGGCAAATGGAATCCTTAAACCATGTTACGTTACATGGAATGGATAAAAAACTTGATCATTACAGCAAGACGAACAATAACCCATTAGAAGCACTGATCAAAACCACTATCATTCGCAAGCATATATGCTAATAATCACGGTGGTATGATTATGAATGTAAACATGGAGAAACGATACGCAGTAGATATCCTTATTAGCATCAGTGAAACCTAAGTGTTGTTAGTAAACGCAGTTTTGCAATTGGTCAATATCTGTATAAATTTACTTTCTGACATGTTATATGATTAATATATCAGATTCACTAAATTAAAAATATAGACTGTGTTATATCCACCGCGGTGAAAATTAGGTGTTTCCGTTGCAGAAGACGAGAAAAGGCCACCGTAAGAAATTGCACGACCAGATTCAAGACAGTAGACTGCCTACTTTTCAGGAAGATATAAGAAATCCGATTAAAGTTTTTGTTGATTACTACACTGAATAATCAGCTATCAGATAAGGGAAGGCGAAATACAGCCACTAGAGAGCGCTCGCATAGGAGAGCATGGTCCAAAACCCCGTCCATTCCGCTACGACCACGCCAGAATATCATGCAGTTCGCGCAAACCACCAACTTAACGGCTAGTTTCTCGCATGGTTACGTCACAGCAACCTGCGGTAAATTCTTTGCTAAAGAGAATTAATTCGCAGTTAAGATAAAGCCAAATTCGAACCCTCACCTCTGGAAATAAAACCTGACCTCTTTGCCACTGTATCACTACGCACCTACAGACAGGAAGCTGTGTGACAAACCATAACTATCAGCTAGCTAGGGTTAATAACCAACAATTTATTCCACCTTTTAAAAGAATTCTAATTGAGGAAGTCTGTCTGACTATAAATCAGTACCGCTGGTTGCCTTAATTTTCAGATGAGAGATTATCATCAAGCCGCTTAATATCTGAACAGATTGTCACGATTCATGCACAAAACAAAAAATGGCAGATGCTTCGTGTCGATCTAAGAAAACGAAGGTACAAAAAGACAGTTCTTTCACTTCAACGCTGAACACCTGAGAAATTTAGAACGGAATGAAGACAGTGTCAACTTCTCCATTCACGTCGCCAATGGAAAAGTTGCTCTTATAATAATCCATTATAACGATATTATCGTGATACCTTCTGGATGTCAAAAATGGATAAACTATGCATAAACATTATATTCAAACACTGCTTATTCACATAGTTCAAATTTTGGACCACGTAATAGCATGATTTTGAACTAACAATCTCAGCCACGCGAGTAAATAATTGTGCATATTTCAATGTTTTGTCACATGCCAAACGAAATCATTTTTACCTACCGCAAAAACAGGTCTTCTATAATATTCGATATTATTATGAAATACTAATATGTATGAAAGTTCATTTTCAAAGCTCTCCAAATGAACCGAATTTCCCCATCTCATCAACAACATAGTTGCCCCAATGGTCTCTTACGCACAGCTGCCGAAATTTACTACTAATGCGCAGAGTGCATTAATTGCGTCTTACCAAACAACTAGAAAACAAAATCTGGACTACCGACAATTAATAGTAACTTTCTTGTTAAATGTTAGAACGTCTATTCTTTGTCTGACGAATAAGCTGCATGATGCCTGAGGTATGATCCGTTCATACAAACTCGATCTACTGGCGGTCATGTAAACTCGCCTCCCTCAGAAGAGGACGCTTGGTTTGCATCATGGCTGGTCATTTTGGTTGTCAAATCACAGTAGACTGCTCATAACCAGTGTGGAAGCATCCGGTGGCAAGCTGGGCGGTCTCTTCTGTTAAACATGTGCCAGGTATGATCTTGGTCAGTCGCATAAATGTCAAAAATACTAATTTCTTCGAAAGCGTTGTAGCTGCGGAAATCATAGTGGCATTTAAGAAAACAGCTTTATTATACACATAGCCCAACGCGTCATACAAGAGACAAGGCTTCGACTGGACTTGCGAGCCCTTCAGCAGTCAGAATTGTATAATTGTATTTACTTACGAATTTTATTTGCCGCGCCGGTAGTTTGATAAATTCTAAATGAACCAGCATCCACTGCGTGAAGTGGCTATCACGTCTTGGTCCGCAGTTGACTTAATCAGCTGATCGATCGCTGCAGTTACTTTATTATCATTTAAATTCTTGGAACCTTCAAACTACTTGATTAGACTCATTTAAATATTGGCTGTTATCACTTCACAATCAGCGGACTACGTGAATGTCACTAATATTATGACAAATGTGTCGAGTAACAGCGACAAAGACGTTCCCTATGACTGTTTTCATCTTGCTGTTAGGGCTTTGTCACATCATGACGTCACAATTGTAACAAGCGACCTAAACGTGAATATGGGCGCCGAGTACAGCATATGACTAGGCATAGTTGGTCGGCACGGCACTGATAGCGTATATGGCAACGGCAACAATCTGTTAAGCTCTGGGGCGACAAACCGCTTCATCTTCGGCAGGACCCTTTTCCCTTATAAGCGAATTCACCAAACTACCTAGACGTTCCATATTAAACTCAAAACACTCAACATGACCTCGTCTTTATCAGCCGCAAATGGAAGACCGTTGATCCAGACTCGCGTCAAGGACAGCGCTGCATTGGATCCAATCATATACGGTATGGGCAGAACAATTAGACTTGTCACTGATGTCCATTCGAAACACATCAGTTTCTCGAAATTAACAAGGAAAAATATGAGAAAGCGGCGCGCTGGCATACCAAAATGAGATAAAGAACTGTTATAGTGCTCTTCTCTGTGTCTAGACGCCAAGTGCCAATATGTATATAGATTACTGCAAGAATTGTAAGACAGACGGTGTCATTTCCTCGGCGAAAAACAATACCGGATCAGAAAGAGAAAAGCTACACTATTTTGGATAACGGATAGTGCTTTAAACGATACAGCACAATTGATAAAGGCAATGACGGAGGACTTGTAACAGCTTACTCCGCCCTCTAGGACAATCCCTCGATGTCTTGTTCGTGTAGAACACCGGTTGACTGGAAAACTTCAGTGGTATAACGATACCTGTTCAATAAGGGAGACCACCATTACCTTATTCAACCACCAGGAAAACGTCTAAGCAAATATGTTAGAAATGAGCTGCCGCGGAATATTTGACTCTATGATCCAAGAAAAGCAGTGTTTCTTCAGATCAAGTCAAAACAGCTTTGATCAGATCTTTGCTTGATAGTTACGAAATCACAAGAGTTCGCTCATTCGATGTATATGTGCTTTGTTGGCCTAGACAAAGCCTATGACCGGACCCTGTGCAATTTATGGGTGTGTCAGCAAACATATAGAATCGATTACCAGTTTCTACGCGCCATTCTGTTACTATATGATGATACGAGGTGCTGTATCAGAGAAAATTGTGTTAAGTGAAAATTCTTCCGTCAAGGCCACGTTCTGTCCCTTTTCCAGTTTGTGTTCTACACGGATAGAACAACAGTCAGTCACGGCCAAGCGACGAGTGTACTAACGTAGGGTACGTGGAGATGACAAATCTGCTGTTTGCAGACGACCTCGTTTTATCGGCACCTTCGAAAACTCATCTCAAACGATCTTCAGAGCAATCAGCAGCCGAGTGCGATATAGCTAACAAGCGTGTAAACATCTCTTAAAGCTAATGTTTAGTGGTTTTCGCCTGTTTCTCTCCAGATAAACGGAGAAGCAGCAGAAGAGCTCAGGTACCTCAGGCTCGTGTTTACTGGTGATCGAAAATTAGATAAAGAGATCCCGAACTGGAATGGCTTGTTGGTGAACTAATCTGAAGCGAAGGCTGAGTCTGAAGACTACGCTCCCAATGCTCAAATCAATGCTCATACTCAGGCAAGACCATGAATCGTAGGTCATGGTTGAAAACTAAGATTTCGAGTACAAAAGGGAATATTTTGACGGATTTTTGCTCTCGCGGCTTAAACTTAAGTTAATGTAACTGGGTTACTGTGGCGTGGAGTTCACTGTTTGTGCTGACGTACATATAAAGTTGTAGAAGTTGCGGTTCGTCATCCGCTAGCCGATAATACTGCATTTCGTATAATCATATTGTGTTTTTATAATATATGTCTATTGTATATAATGACACTGCTACCCTGTGTTTTTCACTGCTTGATTATCTGTTATGCCTAAACAAGATAAACACCGTTTATTCCAAATATTGTGTTCTTTAACATCTATAAAATAAAAACGTTTTGAAGTCGTAGTTTGCCTTAGAGATAAAAAAACAATAGAAAACATTCCAAAC